GTCTCCTACTCTCCCCTGCTGTCTCTGTCCCTCCCTTGGTCACCATCGGCAAGTGTTGGGAGGGTGGAGACACACACAGCCTGATTTTTCATACAGAACTTAGTATTTTTGAAATATTATTGTATTTGCTAAGTTAAGGAAAGTGAGTTGTTTGCTAAACTGAGTTAATTTTACTATATTTTACTTTCCTTTAGAAAACTACACTGACTGATTTTTGGACAAAATAATAATAGTAAGATATTAGCATTACTATGTGACAGACACCATCCTAGTCCTCTGTATAATGGTAGCTTATTTAATCCTTACAATAAACATTTGAGGTAGGTAATGTCCTCATTCTGTAGATAAGGAAAATGAGACAGAGTGGCGAAATAACTTGACCGAAATTTACACAGCAAGTAGGGTTTGAAGGGGTTGGAACTACATTTTAAACCCAGGCAGTTTTAACTGTTAATGTCTGTATGATACATATATTCAACAGATTCTGAAATGAAGGCTCAAGCTAGGTGGTCTCGCTGCAGAGGTCTTAAGGAGGTTAAATTCAGCTGACATCCAGATGCATAGTGATTGGTGCAAGTGCTATACAGAGAGACCTTTAAATCAATAACTGGAAAAATATTGTGGGTGAGCAATGCTTTAATAAAAACATACCACTTGCAATGCTTGTTATATATGTAACTCTGATGTTCACTCCCATTTGCTCAATAAAGAAAAAACAAGTTGCAATTTAATGTGAAATTATATCAAAGTAAAACCAGATAGCTTTCCTCACCATCTATTCCATGAAAGAACTCAGTGCGAAGCATTCACCCGTGTGTGTTTAGCTAGAAGTGCTAAAAGACTTGGTTTCAAATCCCCACTCAGGACAGTTTTGTGATTGTTGAGTAAGTTATTCTTCTTTGCTAAGCTCGTCTGTAAGGCAAGAATAATACTGCACAGTATATGTGTTTATCACACACACCAAATACAGACATGAAACGTGTACTTGATAAATGGTGGTGGTGGAGCTGGAGTGATGGCGAATGTTTTAGAGCTTTCAGTGATAACAAAGAGCCTGCTGCACACATGTGCCATAGTTTTGCCACCACTGCAGGAGTAACTGAGCCTGTTAAACAGGGACCAGAGAAAGCTGTGGGTCCTAATCCATTATACTTTGGTGCTCTATGAAAAATAAAACAGGAAGTGTGTGTGGGCAGAGGCTGAGTAAGAATTTGAAGCTTATGTGTGATATTGGGGCTTACAGGAGACTTTTGTGCAGACTGAATTCATAACCAAGGAAACAGAATTACAAGGAATTGTGTAGTAAGCATTTATATATTTTATATACCATTAGATCTGCTCTAATGACCATTAAATTTTAATTGTCTTATGTCGCAGAAACATTAGTTAATGGAAGCTGTAAGTTAAACTCTATGAAGTTGCTAATATAAAACCATTCTTAATAAAAAATGGCAGTTTCATTGGTCCAATTGATTTATCTCTGTTAATGACTCAAAATCTGGAAAGGAAATTTTTAAAAATTTCATGAAAATGACCAATACAGTTTTAGTTTTATTTTCTAGTTATGCTATAGATAGTCTATACTGTGTTCTAAAAATCTGATTTAAAAGTAGTTTATTAGTTTCATAGATAGTCTATACTGTGTTCTAAAAATCTGATTTAAAAGTGGTTTATTAGTTTCCCATAACTACTGTAAATAAATTCATAGTCTATACTGTGTTCTAAAAATCTGATTTAAAAGTAGTTTATTAGTTTCATAGATAGTCTATACTGTGTTCTAAAAATCTGATTTAAAAGTGGTTTATTAGTTTCCCATAACTACTGTAAATAAATTCATGCAAATTTAGTGGCCTATGACACCACAAATTTATTATCTTTCAGTTCTGGAGATCAGAAGCCTAAAATCACTCTTTCAGGGCTAAAGTAGTGGCAGGGTTAGTTCCTTCTGGGGCTTTCTCCTCATCTTTGTCTGTTTGTGAAACTTGGGGCATTCCTTAGTTTGTGGCCCCACCTATTCAACGTCTTGCTTCTGTTGTTACATGTCCTCCTGCTGCCTCTGACCTCCTGCCTCCCTCTCACAGAGAGACTTTTTTGATGATGTTAAGCTTACATGGATTTTCTGGTTTCCTATCTCAGAATTTTTGACTTGATGAATATCGTGCTTTTTCTGCATTTTGCACTTAGACATCAGCAAATACTGATTTGATGATAAATAAGTGGAATTAAAAGGGATAAAATAAAAATGGAAAATGCTGCATAAGATTACAGTGTAATACCCAGTTAAAAATTAAGGTGATGCCACACGGTTTTGTAACTCCCTCTTATTTTCTTTATCACTGAAAAGTAACTTGATGAAAAGTTCTACCATATTTATTTCTCACTCATTGAAATTTAAATTCCTATCATGAGTTTACATTTGTATTTAATTTACTTTGCTATGAAAATAAATTTCTATACTCTTGATGTTGCAAATTTTAAATTATTACCTACCCCAAGATACTTCCCACAGATACTATTTTGGTTATAAACTAGATACAATTATAGTGTACATGACTTTAAGTTTTATTCTGTAGCAAGGATCTGGATATGTTGTGTCATATGAAATGTTTGAAGAAAACCTTGTGCCATGAGTTGAAATGTGTTCCCTCCAGATGTTGAAGCCCTAACCCCAAGTACCTCAGAAAGTGACTGTGTTTGGAGACACGACCTGTAAGAAAATAATTAAGATTAAATGAAGTCGTGAAAGTTTCACTGTAATTCAGTAAGTCTGGTGTCCTCATCAGAGGAGGAACAGATAACAGAGAAAGGCCATGAAAGGAGATGAGAAAGAGGCTTTCTGCAAGCGAAGGAGAGAGCTCAGGAGAAACTAACCCTGCTGACATCGGACTTCCAGCCTTCAGGACTGTGACAGATACATTTCTGTTGTTTAAGCCACGAGTATGTCATACTTTATTAAGGCAACTTTGGCAAGCTCTACCCTTCTTATTACATTTTGTATTTTTCTTTTTTGATCTTTTGTCTGTATATGTTTGTTTCCTTCTGTGTTTAGAGTTGCATTCATAATATTCGTGGTATTTGACTCTCTGACTCATACTGAATCCTGCTGCAGATCAGGAGGTGATGGGATGTTAGCCATCGTGGCATCAGGTCTCCACAGTACACTCTGTCCCCCAGGAGTAGCTTCACTGTGCCTACCCCAGCTTGACGGCAGAGGAAAGCCAGAAGCGAGGCACTGTTGCCTTCATTTAAGATACTGTTCGTCTTAGTTACTTGACAGCTATCTTGCCAGGGAAAGATACCGCTGATATTTGCTCCTCTGTTTTCTTGTCATGTTGGTCAGTCAGATACTTAGCACTGTGCTGGCAGTCACATTTATTGAGTGTGCTAGCAGCCTACTGTCTTCCTGAGTGCACTTTTTCTCAGGAACAAAAAAAACTGTAGTCAAAAGCTGGCCCGGTGATCATGATACTGCTGGTTGGTATCATGTGGCTGTTTCAGGATGATAAGAGTTCAGTTCTATATTCTAACAATTTGCACATTTTTAAAGTAATGAACATTTTAATACATCTAGAGATAATTTTGGTATGCTGTGCATTGATTGGTTTCAGTTAATCTTTTCCACAATTTCAATTGAATTATTATAATACTATTCATTTAAGACTGCCTTGTTCTGTGATTTTGAAAAACTTTTATTTTACATCAATCCTTGAGCCTATTTACTTGAGCTTATTTCTTGACTCCTGTGAACGTTCCATTTTTCAAATTCTTTGTCACACCTTTTTTCATTCTATTTTGATTGCTATTGCTATGTAGTACATTCTGCTGTTTGATAAGGATATATTGATTTTTCTCTGTTAAGTTTCTGATTCATAAGCTAGTCATTATTTGTTTTACAAACTAAATTTTAATGTTATTTGAAAATCCCATTGGATATTTGCATTGAAGTTGTAAACAAAATTAAGTTATTTTTCAACCAAGTTAAAATAAAAGGAATTATCTAGCCTTGATTCTTTACACAAACAAGTGATGATGCTACTTGGAAAAATAGCAGAATGTAAGAAGCAAGAGCTATAGGAAACTTGGAAGATGCTGAGCAAATAGCATACACGTGTGAAAACATCTGTGTTTTCCAAGTAAGCTGGACAATTTAACTTGGCTACCATTTTTACTGTCCTCAGTCTTGAGACAGAAGCAAAATGAAGGACAGAGTGGATGATTGCTTAGTGCTAAAGGATAGTTTAATTGTATCTGTTTTGTTTACATACCCCGAATCAGTTATAGGAAGACCATAACATTACCTAGTATTTTAAAATATTGATGAAAAAGTTACATTGTCCAATTTTGAGTTGTGTCCTCCACCTATTTGTTGGACTTCAGTCATTTCGAAGTAAGACAATCATAACTTGTCACATAGTGCTGTTGGGAGAATAAATTGATATTTTTTAAGGACTTCAATAGTATCTGACCAATAAACATTATTCATATTGAGATTTGTGCTGCAGAGCCACTTTTAGTTTGAAAGAGGTCACCTGCCTATATTTTTTTTTCTTTTCCAAATCTGAACGTCTACCGTGTGCAGCTCTGCATGGATGATACGATCCATTAAGGTTGAGTACTTGTGCCTGGTCCACACCATTATCACGGAAATGCTTCTGAGCTTTTGTACCTGACTTATTTATTGTTGCTTTCTGGCAGCCATCCCCTGGCCTACTAGCAAAGGTAGCTGGATTTCATTAAAATTCAATCTCTTTTGATACCATCTCTGCTGGATGTAGAAGAGGTTGCTACTGGTAGAGTTTTAGCAACGAGATTAAGAATAGACTTGGGGTGGGACCTTCTAAGTGTTCTAAAATTACCATTTATAGAGTTTCCTCCAGGGCCCCCCACTCCCTTCACTCTGGGCTACCTGTCTCTCCCCTGCCCATCTCACCCACAGGGAGCCAGACTTCCTATGGCTTTCTCCAGCTGGACACTGAGATGTGTCTGTCTTCATATTTCAGGTGCAAGTTCTCTCCCATCATCTCGAGTCCCCACTCTGGGGCCCTCTGTATGAGTGACACGTCGGTCTGCCATGGAACCTGGCCCTGCGCTGGCCTGGCTTCTGCTCCTGAGCCTGTTGGCTGATTGTTTGAAAGCTGCTCAGTCCCGAGACTTCACAGTGAAAGACATTATCTATCTCCACCCTTCAAGTAAGACTCTCTTCTCTTTGCTGCAGAAATGTCACTTTATTTCACGTTAGAAGTGGATTGAAAAGTAACCAGGAAAAGCAGGCTTTCGTGCAAAGGAAATATCTGGTAGCATAATTAGGGAATGCCACTTTTGACTAAAAATGCTTTATATTTTACTCTTGTTTTTTTTTTTTTACTCTACTTTTATTTTAAGTCAAATTATTAGTCCTGCTTTCTCTGTCCCATAAACAAGCACTGTAATTCTAAACCACTCTCTCTTTTACTATCCCTCAGTAAGTTATCAAAAAGTACAGCTGTGTCCCAGGAGCATAAAAGATCAGTCCTTTATGGGTAAGATAGCAGCTGGTCTTCCTCTCTGTGCATCCAGTTCTGTGTTGTCATGGCTGCCTTCCACAGCTTCCTGTTTCCTATGTTTAATAATTCTCTAGGAGTTCATAACCGTGTAGATTCCCAGCTCTTTACCCTCAAGTTTCTGATTTGATTATATCTTACAGATTTTTGCTCTTCGCAAGACTTTCAGGTCTTTCTGCTGCAGATATCCTGAGGCTCACACTTGGGGAAATACAGCAGTTTGACTTTCTCTTTTGGTCTCCATCTTTATTTATATCCTCACTTTTGTCCTTGTGTGACTCCTCTTTACCATTTCCTCTGTCATGGTGAGAGTTCAGTAAGTTGTGTGTATTCTGGCTTTTAGCTTTTGTCCCAACACACATTATTTTTTAAAATGTTCTACCCAATAAATGTTGCTCACAGGTACACTGATTGTGCAGCATTTTGTTAGGCATGAAAGGTATACAGGCAAATAAGATACAATCTTACTTTTCGGGATCATTTAGTCTACAAAGTAGAGGCAACTACTCATATTCTTTCATTCTTGTGGAGCTAGAATATTTAATGTCTGTGTGTTCTGATTTCACGGACAAGTGGTATGTGGAATTCACAGGCGCTCGAAAGTTAGCCAATCCTGAGCTGTTTTCTAGCCTTCTGATTTGAAATATATTCTCTGACTTTATGAAGGCTAAATAACACGATGCTATAAAGAATTTAGCATTGAATATGAGCGTAGTAAATGTTCAGTTAATGGTAGGAGATTTTTAAAGTGACTATTTCCTCATTTATAAAGTAGTAGAATAATGTACATCCTAAACTAGAAATAACAGCGTAAAACACAAGGTCTATTCCTAACAGGCAGTCAAATGGCTATTCATGTTGATATCATAGATTTAGACAGTAAAGTGAAGGTGCTAAAAATATACCACACTTAATTTTGGGGGACTCCAAATATACTTTTTCTTTACAGTGAGTAATTTATCTAGATTTTGTCACTGTATCCTCTTACCAGGATCGTCTAGTGCTTACTAATAAATTGGATGGAAAACTTGGATGCTTATTTTTCTGAGAATTTTTTTTAGTTTGTCTTGATAATAAATGTTAATAATAAAGCTAAAAGGTATTTGCTGCATTTTCCGAATATCATTTTGTTCTTTTTCCTTGGACAGACATGCTTTTTTTATTAGAGTTGGTGAGGTAGAAACCTAGATTTCAGTCTCTTAGGGTTGAAGGGTTTGGTCTTCTGTAAAGTTCTCGTCAGCTTTGGTGGCAGACCCAGTAGTAACTGGGCTACAAGCTGGCCGGTGGCCCTTTTTTGAGGCTGTGATTGTGCATACAGTGTAGGGAGGAAAACTGAGGTTAATAAATTTAAGTTCAAAGAACAAAACAAACTCACTACTTCCACATCAGTGGGATAGCAGGTCAGTTTGACCAGAAAAGAAGCTCCAGAAGTCAGGGTAGAAGAAGCCCCTGTTGGGAAAGTGATTTTTGAAGGGGCTGTTTGAAGGAGGAACTCTTGCAGATCACAGAGGGGAATCAACTTTTGTTTAGAAGGTGTGTGGTTGATGCATTTTGTCAGTTAGATAAGTTTAGAAGTTTAACTGATTCAGCAGGAAGCCAAGGTCTCACTTTTTAAACCTCCTGATACTGTGTAAGATCAGGGCATGATGTGAGTGCTATACCAGCCCTGGTGGAGTGAGGACAGCCTGTTTACAACATGGGAGAAAAAGAGACTTGTTCTTTCCCTCTGTTTTGCTCTGCTGCATTTGCTGTCTTCTGGCACCTTGAACTGTTACCCCTGTGCCATGCCAACCTGCTTTGGACCCAGCAGATTCCAGACTGAAACCCCCCAAAACTGTGGGCTAAATAAAATTTTCATTTTTAAATTTTGGATGTTAGGTATTTTGCCCCAGAAATGACAGAAAAGTAACTAAGACAGAATTTGGTACCACAGAAGTGGGGTCCTTCCTGACCATACTTGACCATGTGGTTTAAGAGCTTTGAGAATGGCTTGTGGTAAGAGTTTGGGAAATGTTCTAGGATGTCTTTTGAGAGAATAGCACTGGAAAGTCAGGCTGTTCTGTAGGGGAGATTCCGGTCAGAGTTTAGAAGACCAGAAGGCTGATAGAAATTCTGCTGGTGAAGATCAGGCTTGGGAGGTTTCTGCAGAGGACTGCATTGGGTGCCGGACTTCAGATGATGCATATTATGGCTTAGCAAAAAGTTTGTCTGATTTTGCTTATGTTCAGAGACTTTGCCTGAAAATAAGATTAAGGGCAGTGAACTAATTAATCTGACAGAAGAATTTCAAGGCAGTCAAATGTTGAGATGATGGCATGGCTATTGTTAGGGGTTTTAGCTAGATCTATGTTACAAATCAAGACAGAAAAGCCCAGCAGGATGATATAAAACATTGTGAGTTTGGTCAGAAAGGAAGCTCCAGTAAAACTGTAGACTGCAAAGACAGAGCTGAGGAAATCTTTATTGCTGAGAAGGAACAGGAAAATAAAAAAAGATGGCCTGAAGGCATCACAAAAAACAGCAGTTTCAAAACTGCAAAAGTGAAACACTTTGCTTTGAGGAGAAAGTTGCAAAGCACCATATTCCACAAAGACGGTAGCATAGAAAATTTGTTCCTCAGAATCAGATTCAGAGTACCCAGCAACCCAGGCACTCAACCCGTATAGTCAAGAGAAGGAAGTCTGGCTGCTCTTGCAGCTGGCAGCAGATCTTGGCATTATCTACATGGTACTAGTTTTAGGTGTATGCAGAATACAAAAGTTATGGGGTTAAAAAGCCTTCCACCTTGATTTCAAAAGGCATTGGAGGCTAAGCAGTGTGCCCCCGAGAGGGCAGTGTATGAACCTGTGAGTGTGAAGCCAAAGGTACAGTGGAGACCCCAGAAGTTTGGAAAAGCCAGGAATGTGGATAGTCTAAGGAAAGCTGCAAGCAGAGAGCAGAATAAGCCTAAGAGAAAAGCCTTGGAAACTATAAACACCTGACAACAGTGTGGCCAGTCAAGCCCTGTGGTGCTCACAGTTTGCTACAGATTGCCTCAAATAGTGCACACAATTTTGTAACTTGTAACTTGTAACTTTTAGAATGAAAAGGTTTATCTTATGCCATTGAATGTGGAAGTATTAAACTGTTTGTACAGGGGTTTGCAACTAAGAGTTTGCCTTAGGTCTCAGAGGATAGTTGGAACTTGGACTTTTCAGCAGTGCTGAAACTGTTAGGACTTTGGTAATTCTTGGAGATGGACTAAATACCTTTTGCATAAAGGGATGTGCATGAGCCTTTAGGGGTCCTAGGGCGAAATGTTATGATTTTAATGTAACATAATGTTGATAGACAATACTATTTTTTGTTGTTGTTGTCATTTTGTTTTATTTTTCTTTTTTGAGACAGGGTCTCACTATGCAGTTCAGGCTGGCCTTGAGCTCAGTTTGTAGCCTAGGTTGGTCTTGAACTTCCAGTGATCTTCCTGTCTCAGCTTCCCGAGTGCTAGGATTACAGGTGTACACCATCACATCTGGCTTTAATACTGGTTCTTAAGGATTGTTAAAACTGAGTAATGTTCAGATTATAAAATGGTAAGTACAGGTATATCTTTGTATCTAGAAACTGATTTAAAGAAATGTGTCTGTGAGTTGACTAAGAGGTAGATTGTAATGAATGATACATTGTGTCAACTTGAGAAGTTTTGAAGTTAGTGACTCAATAGGGAACCACAGTCCTCACTTTGTAAACATTCTGAGCCTGTGCAAAAGGAGAGCATAGAGATGATGTCAATGCTACACCCACTCTGGGGTGGAGTAGCCTACCTACAATATAAGGGAGGAAAAGAGGCCTGTTCTTTCCCTCTCTTTTGCTCTTGCTGCTTTTGCTGTCTTCTGCTGCCTTGAACTGTTACCCCTGTGCCACTCCACCCTGCTTTGGAGCCAGCTGATTATGGACTGAAACCTCCACAAACTGTGAGCTAAATAAACCTTTCCTTCCTTTATTTTGGGCGCTGGGTATTTTATCCCAGCAATGAGAGAAAACTAACCAAGACAAAAGGTGATAGAAAGTTCTGCTCATATACCTTACACTAATTAAATAGAGCCACAGACTAATTAGAAGGAGCTCAGCACTTACGAAGAATTAGTGGGGGTTTCTGATATAATCTGAAAGTGTGGAGAAGGATACAAATTGTTCCTAAATGAGATTATAATTAATGATTCACCAGCAAGTTTGGGCCCAAGTTCTGCAGTAATGATGACTCTACAAATTCTTGTTAGTGAAATTACAATGAATGACTCCCTCTTGCAGAACTTTGTCTTTTCTAAACACTTCAAATCAGATTAATTTCACACTTCTCCAAACTGTTTCTGAAGTTTGTGGTACATTTCTGTTTTCACTTTCAAGTTTTTAAACAGCCTGATCCTCTACCCTTTAGCACCAGGCCATGTTTAGGTGAAGTGATCTTTCTACCAATATGCAGGCTCCTGTTGAACATAAGCCATAAAAAATATATGAGGGAAGTGTAGGTTTAGTTTGATTTTGAATTATTTATATAATCACCTCGCTTTGTAGGTGGAGGCAAAACAGCCATCTTTGGGTCAGTGAGTGGGCCAGATTCCATTAATGTTACATGGAAAAGCTCAGCATCTACCCAAGCAGAAAGGTGGTGATGCAGGACGAGTTTTCTATGCCAGACATAAACTCATTTCTCACAGGCCCAGGAACAGCCCTTATCACTCTCACCTGGGGTGAGATCGGGACTCGGACTGAGGAAATTCAGTCCTTCATGACTATTCTCCTTTGCTTCCTGCCACTGCAAACTTTGAAGTTCCTCATCCTAAAAAAAAAAAAAAAAAAAAAAAGGCCTACAGTACAAGTGCTACCTAGTAAGCACAAGGTTGTGACTCTGATCTCTGGTACAAAAAATAAATTAAATAAAGTAAAATAAAAAGAAAGAAAGAAAAGAAAAGAAAGACTTTATACCTTTGAGACCAGGGGCACTGTCCTAAAAACATAATCTGTTCTGTACTTTGTGCTTTCCCCCACCCTTATTTTTATATAAAAAGTGGTGATTTTACTTAGCTTTTGCTTAAAACACCGAAGTCTAATTAAAGCCTTCAAAATAAGAACAGTGTTAAAGAGAAAAAGAGTTTCTCCTTTGGTTGTCAAATGTCATACAATATTACAAAATTTAAAGTACTATATGGACACAATCTAGTCTTGGACTCCATTTCTTGTCAAACTTTTTTTGAAAAATAATTGAGTTTTTCTGTGGATATAAGTTTTGAGCCTTTACGGAATCCTCTGCACCAGAGATCTGTGTGCTTGAAGGAGGTCTTATGGACATCTATGTAGGAGTGAAAATATTTACTCACAACCCTGTAGTACAGTATTAGCTGACCCTCAGAGAGTTAGAAGAGTTTCTAAAGAGTACCAGAAAATGCATTTCTATCAGAAATGTGTCATACTAAAATTACATTGACAATATTTTATTGCCAAGTGGGCTAAAGAGAAAGATAAATTTAATATATTTCTAGAATGTTTATATTTGAATGTTTCCAAAAACAGTGGAAATTAATTTAGCAAGAATAGAAAAAGGTTGGATGCATTACATATCAGTGTGTGTTTCAAAACGTCTGTTTCTCACCTGCTCAGTAACTAAAGGCTTTTGTCCAGACAAAAGTTCCAAGAGTTGCAAACAAAGACTAAATCTTTTCCGGTACCTTACGAGTAAATTATGGGAGGTTGAACTATGGTTGACCATGTGGGTTAATGCACATATTATTTTACAGGAAGTAACTGGGCACTTCGGTGTTTCTTTTCTCTTTATAATCACTTTCTCTTGAGGGACCAGGGACTTATGCCCTGAAATACACAGTACTAAGCTTATTAACTCTGTGATCAAGAGCCAAATTAGATTCATTCACAGCTGGGACCACAACAATCTGAAACTCTGCTTGCTCTGTAAAGCTTTGAAGTAACAAAGAAGAAAATGGCACATCTCTCAGGAATCTCTTTCCGTCCTTTAAAAAAAAGAAAGAAAGAAAAACCTCTTTATCAGATGCAGTATCAGTTAGCAAGTTACTGGAGATAGCTGTTCATCTGTTGACCTTTTTTGCCTAATATTTCCAGAGGGAAGAATTTAACTATTTACTTGATTTGTGCTATAATTAGCCACTGAAAGATGAGTATGCTTGGACAGATTTGTCACTAATCAGTGATTATTCACTGAGCAGTACTCCCTGCCAAGATGTAAATGAAAGTTCCTATAAGAAAATATTTAAGCTGTTGTCCTTGAGAATGAACACAGATATGAAGTTGTAGATTTTAAAGTTAAACTGACCAAAAATGAGACCTTTGGTTAATTGCCAATGATATATGCTGAGATGTTCTTTCAGTGATTTGAAACAGAGCTTCATTTTGCTGCTATAGTATTTTAGCTCATACTCCTGTTTAGATTTCAGCATCCTTTAAGTCAGTTTCAGAGTCCAGGTGTACTTACATAAGAAATGACAGTACTTAATTTAATATGTCATTGTTCTGTAGAAGATCATCTTTTTTTTTTATTTTGAAGGTAGTAAAATACAACAGAACAAGACAGAACAAAGCCAATTAAGACAGTGTAGTGAAATTCGCACAGAACTTCATAGCAGGTTACTGGGATAACAGTAATAGGTATCACGGTATATCTCACTATGTTCACAATAGTTCTTTCAATCACGTATAGCAAAATAAAATGAAATACAGAACATTATAGAATTTATCAAAACAGAATATTGAATAGAGCAGTACCATTAATCAGAATAAAGCAAAATAGTAGTAAAAATATTTACCTTCAAAGAGATGGTAGAAGGAAATCCCCCTTATTTGCTATATTGCATATGATCAACCCCCAAGAGATGCTCAGATCTCTGGTTCCCATTTGCTAATGGGAGTAGGGGAAGTGGGATGTTTGGCTCTCAGCCTGTGCACTGGTAGGCTCACTATTGCTTAGCAGGGAGGCAGGCTGATTGCTTCATCTCCCAGTGCCCTGAGTTCCAACATGGTGTGGATCTCAGGAGACACTGGTGGTTCTTCCCCTGGAGCGGCTGCAGCCTGCTACACCACAGCCACTTACCAGGGAGGCTAGCTGATAGCTTGGTTTCTCAGCGCCCTAAGTTCTAGAAGGTCATCTTAAAAAGTCTAATAAAAATTTGTTTTGGAAATAATACAACTTACTCATGTTTAGTCCTCAATAACTTTGTTCTCAGAGCAATTGGATCATCAGTCTTCATTCAGAGTTTTTAATTTATCTCTTGGATGGGAAAGTTTCCAGGAATAACTAATCCAGCATCCCAGCCAAAAAAATTTTTGGCTGCAGTGACAGACAGATAAAATTAGACTCTCTAGTGAATTAATCATAAAAACTGAAGTGGTATGACTAGCTTGCAGTTACAAACCTTGGTGGATATGTTAATCATGTTTTTGAGAAATGCTGTTCATTGTTACATCCTTTATGTCTAAAACTTTGATCATTCCACTTCAGATTTTATAAGCTATTTTAAAGTTTTATCTTTCAAAGTTGTTTATTAACTAAAAGTTAATAGAGGAACTATTTTAATGTAGCTAATCAGGACAATTTTCCAAAATATTTCATGTTTTTTTATAATCACACACACACACACACACATATATGTATATATATATATATATATATATATATATATATAATTTAATTAAAATATCCAAAAGAATTCTCAGCAGCTTTGGTATTTGAGGATAGTTTGTTTTAAATTCTTCAGACATGTCCTCATCAAAGTGGTATGTTTCAGTTCAAATGTAACTCACTTATATAGGTTATACAATTGTAGGTACACAACTTACTTACATATAATTTCACAAAATTCCTTCTTCTGGTTATGAAAATTCTGTGATAGGAGAGCTGTAGCTTCACAATGAAATTTCCTCATGGGAATGAAGTGGCTGCCTCTCAGTCACTTTGTTTTATAAGATGATCCATGCCTTTGCGATCATTCTGTTTATGAATTCGAGTCACCAAGTACTTGGAGGAACAAACTCTCAGAGGGCCCTATAAAAATGTCCAGTTGCTTGTCTTTTTCAGAGTTGATGGCTTTTGACCATGTAGGGTATTGGATATTGTCACATCTCTATGAAATATTGTAGGCAAATACATGGATAGGCAACTCTTCTAGACAAGGTGAAAATCAAAGTTAAATTTGGCCCATAATTCTGGCCTTAAGTTGCTACCTCCTCCTTCATTATTTTTGATAACATACTTAATTGGTTCCATGTGGGCAAAGCAATTTACCCTGAGATGATTATTTCTATCTGCGGGATTCACAGGCTCAGCCATCTGCGAGGGAGAACAGTTGGCTCCTGCAGATGAAGGGTTTGCGTGCCTGCAGCTTTCAAATAGGCCAGGTAATTTTACAAAATTTTAAAAAATGTACAAGTTTTTTTTTAAATGAAAGGCAGAATTCTAAACAGCCAAGCAAACAGATGATTACAGTCATGAAACAATTAAAAGCACATTGGTGAAAAGGACAGAGAACACCCTGGCCTCACTTTGTTTGCTGACGCCCATCCTTATGCTGGTGATAGGCCTGCTGTGCTGAGTGCTCTCTTCAGAACATGACCTGTGTATTCCACCTGCCACCTGAGCTTACAGCAAGAGTACAAGCACCTGTGGGACAGTCCCTGCTGAAGGCCAAGAAGGGGCAGCTCAGGGCAAGGGAGAGGATGGAGTCAGTGGGAGGACCTGCTGCAACTGTGTGCTCTCTCCTTCCAGGACTGCCCACTCCTAACACCTGCTGCTCACCTGTACTCGGTTTCCAAAAGTTTATCCTTTCAAAAATGTTACCTTCATGGGAACATACAGTGTATAGCTTTTTGAGTTAGGTTTTTTGACTTGCAATAATTCCCAGGAAATGTATCCAAGTTGCTGAACATGTTAATAGTTCATTCCTTTTCATTGCTCTCTAGTATTTTATAGTATGGATATACTATATACTGTGTCTATATACAGTTTGCTTAACCCTTCATCATTTAAAGATATCTGTGTCTCTCCAGTTTTGGTCATTACATATCAAGTATTCTTTATTCAAAATGCTTGAGACCAGAACTGTTTCAAATTTTGGATTTTGGAATATTTGTATATACCTCATAGGATATTTTAATATAACATGAAATTCAATAATGTTTCATATACACTTTATAAATAGATAGACTAGAAGTAATTTTATAGAATACTTTTAGTGCTCCTGCATATTGACTAAGAGCCATGGTATGAGGTTAGGTGTGATTTTGGGGGGATGTCATGTGAGTGTTAAAGTTTCAGGTTTTGGGAAATTTTACATTTCAGATTCTCAGAGATAAAGTTGCTTAAGACATTTGTTTTCAGTTTTTGTGTGTGTGAATATAAGTGTTCATTTCTCAGGAATAAATTTCTCAGAGTAAATTCACCAGATCACATCAAAGATGAATGTTAGCTTTCTAAGATATTGGAGAATTATCCTGAGAATCCTTTAAAAAAAAAAAAAAAAAAGAATATATCGTCTTTACAGGATTCTGTACCCAATCTAAAAATCAATCTTTTCCTTTGATTTTTGTAGCCACCCCATATCCTGGTGGATTTAAATGTTTCACCTGTGAAAAAGCAGCAGACAATTATGAATGCAACCGATGGGCTCCTGACATCTACTGTCCTCGAGGTAAACTCTCAATAGACAAATTGGGGTCTTGGAGCTGTTTATGAGTGAACAGCTCCATAGACTTTGATGTATGCTTGCAATCCTAACTGCTCCCTGTGTCTAGGGCTACTAGAAGTTTTTTCTACACCAATAACTTATCCTCAAAGACTGAGATATGAAAGGATCCATAGGATTTCCTTCTTTCTCATCTTTGAAGTGCCACAGGAGATAAGTGAGACTTCCCCACCCCAGGGCCAGCCAAATGCCCAAGAAGAGAACAGCCAGCCTGTTCACCACTCTTTGAAGCATTAGTCATTGCTTAGCAACTTCTTTCATGTAACGTATGAATCGATGCTCATATAAAGGTTCCATTTATTACACATCTTGCCAGAGACTTCTATCCCAAGAGTGCATGAAAGTAAGAATTCTGAATGTCATTATTGCACAAATAAAAGTCCTGAGCTTCTTAAACTTTTAAGGTCTCTTTGAAGGATGAGATGGTACCCAATTGCAGTTTGAAATTTTGGCTGAAAAGCTCATTTCAAAAGGATGATGCCTCATTTTTATATCTCTTTTATCCTAAGAAGTAAAAATGGTGCTTATATTTGGCATTAGAATCATTATTTATTGGTTGTTTTATTTGGGAGGAAAATGGATTGATTTGGTAGGGGGGTGATGAAGATGAACATTTTTATTTACAGATGTTTAAGTGAGTACTTAATGTACTTAACTATTGATCTAACTCAGTTGTTAAAAATGACCAAAACACATCAAGTCCACTATTTTTCAATGTGACGGAAGAGCTTGCATGTTCTACTCAGTGAGTAGCATTCTGTTTCCCGTGGTGGACTGGAAATTGGGAGAGTATGGCAGACACTATTAAAAGACAGATGTCTACTACCCAAGCTAAAACTATTTAACCAAGAGTCTCCACCTAAACTGCTCATTAGAAAACACATGTGGAATTTTTCAAACTCACAGACCTATACCTTGCTTAGACCAATGGCTCTTCAACTTTAGCCTGATCATCACTCCATGAAGGGCTTATTAAAGTACAGATAGCTGCTACTGTCCCCACACTCCCACTCCACCTAAGTGTCTGATTCATTAGCTCTGAGATAGGGTGAGAGTTTCCATTTCTAGAATCTAGAGATGAAGAAGATGCTGCTGGACTGGAGAGCTCATGTTGAAAACCATAGCTCTGCACAAATTGAACCAACATCTCTGAGTTAGGAGTGTGTGTTTTTGGATATTTTTAAATATCCTAGGTGATCAAATGAATAGTCAAGCCACTGGAAGCTTCTCTACCCTTTACTAAGGAATGTTGTGTCATTTCTAGGTTTCTCTTTATTGTGAAGTACAGATGTGAATGGAGGTCCCAAAAGATTATAGGGAAGAGGAAAACATGAGACCATAAAGACTGCTCAGTCACAAGTTAGATTCACGGTCATGTGGATAATCAATAAGTCCTGTTTCTTTTCTTCTGTAGTCACTGTGGATTTCTGAATGAGCCAGTGTTTTCTGGTGGCTCTCTAAATGAATGTGTAAGTTGCTAATGACCTGATTGAATTGAGATGAAGAATATTCAAAACTTCCCTTGGTGACTCTAACAGGAAGCAAAGCTTGATGATTATGACAATGACTGAACAAAACCAAGATGATATGTGTGGGTTTCCCCTAACTTTTTAGGCTGGTTCCTGCTAGGACAAAGTTTGCCAGTTAGCTTCTGAAACAGCGAGTGTGCAGGCATTGTAACCTTACTCCATTTGTGTTGCTATATAACACAGAATCTCAGGCTCAGCCATTTATAAACAATTTATTTCTCACAATGCTGGAGGCTGCGAAAGCCAAGATCAAGATGCCAGAAGATATAATGAGGGCCTAGTCTTTCTGCTTTTAAAATGGAAACCTCATCTCTGGAGGAGAGGAACTGTGTCCTTGTAGAGTAAGAGGCAGAAGGAATAGAAGGAAACAGACTTTCTCCCATGAGCCCCTTGATAAGGGTCCTAATCCTACCTACGATGGTCATATCCTTATGATTTAACTCTCTCTTAAAGATGCTATCTTTTACTATCACGTTGATTAAGTTTCAACATAAGAATTTGGAGGAAACATTCAGGCCATAGCAAAATGTAATTATATTTCTCTTAGGCTGAGTTAACTCTAGGGTACCCTGGTAGAGATTATGGGGATGAAAAAGAGGGAATGTGAGTTGGTGCTGCCTGCAGACTTTGACAGTGTAGGGGTATATCCCTGTCACAGAGGACAAACAGTAACCAGAGCACTCTACTTGAATGCCGTTCAGAAAAATAAAAATCCACCTTGATCTTTCATTTGAGATCAAAATTATTTCCCTTCAAAATACAGATACCTAAAGGTATCACAGAGTGTGGTCTTACACAAACTTATCCTTCATCTTTTATCTCTTCCACTTGTACCTTTCTGTCCTTAAATTTATAGGGATAAATGAAAGGTCATACACTGAGATTTATAACATTGAACAACTATCCTAGATCCCTTGGGTGATTATGTAGTGAAAGATAGGAATCTGTTTCCTTCTTTTAAGGAGCAGACAGTCTAGCCTGGGAGATAGATCTGAACGTATCAAATGTCAAAAGTAGCAGGATAAAGTTCAGAGCCAGATGAAACCTTGTGTTAAGTGCTGTGTGAATTTAAGGAAAGAGAGGCATTCAGGAGCTCAGGTGCTCAGTGACAGTGTCACGGAAGGTCACGGCAGCCCTGTGACTGGGAGGTGGCTGTAAATGGCTGGAAGGGGAAAGTCCTCTGGGAAGCCCCTCACAATAGTGCTGTGGAAACAGGATTTCCTGTGTGCTTAGTGGACAAGGAGAGACCTGATCTGGGAGTAGCAACTAGTTTGTCTCAAAAAATAATAAGGATGAAATAACCCAGGACCAGGTTATTTTTGTGGGATGACTTCAATGGAGTTATTTTTGTGGGGCCTTGAGCATCAGGTGAAGAGCAAGAAGTTAAAGCCACAGTCTACAAAGAGGTGAAGCCTTGCAGCTTCCTGCTTGGCCAGCCCTACTTTCTGTCTTCTGTTCTGTCTTCTAGGTTTTCTCTCGATTTTTCTACAATAAAATGCTACCATTTTATTATTAAATCCAAATATGAGAGGTCTTTACTAATTAGCCCTGATTTTTTTGTTTTGTTTTGTTTTGGTCTACTTATCATTATTGGGAGCAGCTCTAGGCAAGTCCACCAAGGGGCATGACAGGGACAGCCCAGGTGCTGCTATGGAGAGCCTTTCCTGGTTTTTGTGTTTTAATCTGTTTCATTTGTCTGTTTAAGTTTTAATCATTGCATGATTAAACATAACTTGTTAAAAGTGAAAACAATAATTTCTAATGCACGTTTGATCTAATCCAGTGGCAGTGAATGTGCTATGGCACGTGTTCTGTAGCAGGCCATATCATTGAGAGCTCTAATCTGGTCTAATCTGTATGGAATAAGCCCACATCACTAACGATTAAATTGAAAGAATTTTCCAAAAGCTAAACTCAATCAAGTAGGTAGGCATGGAAACATAGCATATCATAGTAGCTGACTGTTATGTAATCAACAGAGTTGTGAATCATCACTTGGCCCAGCATGCTTCACGAAAACTTGGCCCTGACTAGAAAGAATCATTTATCCCAAACTGGAGGCATGAGGCTTCCTGTTCTCTTTTAGGATGTGTATTGTGATTGGGCATGGTGGTGCACACCTGTAATCCCAGCCCCTGGGAGGCTGAAGCAGAAAGCCTGCAACTTTAATGCTAGCCTCAGAAATAGTGAGACCCTGCCTCAAAATAAAAAGTAAAAAAGGCTGAGGATCTAGCTCATGCGAAAGCTCTAAGTTCATTCCTTAGTACCACAAAAAGCAAAACAAAGCAAGAAAGTGTGTTGTGTAAGTACTTCCTCCTCCGTTGCACTATTTTTGTCTCCGGTGCTTATAGATTAATGGTTCTATCCATGTTCCCTACGACTAAGAATTTAAGATGCCTGCCACAGCTGACTGCTAATAAATCTGTTCAATTTTCTTGATTTTTATGAACCAGAATGAGAAAGGATCTTTTTTTTTTTTTTTTTTTTTGTCTTTTTCATTTTTATCGGTACCGGGGATCGAACTCACGACCGCCTGCTTGCAAGGCAGGTGCTTATGCCGCTGAGCTAAACCACCAGCCCGAGAAAGGATCTTGAAATGTTATATGAGAGATCAGTTGCAGGAACTGGTGAAGTAAACTAAGAGTTGATTGTCATATGCTTGGATCCATGCCATTTTGCCATCCATGTCATTTTTCTCTATACTGCAAGATTAAAAGTTTCTTGAAACAGGAACCATAAAATGTTTATCATGACCCCAGAGAATTAATTATTGAGTCAGCAACCTTATGACTTTAAAAAAGACTTGTTCTGTAGAGGACACCTAAGCAAAGAGTATCATTCTCCTTCTTTATCAGGAAATTCAGTTTTGTCTCTGTATGACAAACTCTTCCTTAGAAATGATTACTGATAGAAAGTCAGAAGACAAATTCTGTGATAGAGGATACATATCCTTTTGGTTCTAGCTTCTTGCTGCTGTTTTGCTGTGGAAGTGAATTAATGAATGTGTTCCTTGATGGTGGTTTCTAGGTCAGTTGTCTGCTGGTTCCTGATACATTTTTAAAGTGCTAAAGCAAGTAACTGCCAACCATGAATTCTACCCCAAGCCTGTCAGTCTCACTTCCCTCCTGGCTGCTCTGCCAGCTCTGAACTCCTATTTGTGCATCCGGTGCCCTGGAGACTGACAAAGGCTCTGCCCTACTTCTGCACCCCTTGGCAGGGTTTTCTGCTTGGCATCTCAGCTTCTGCACCTGTGCAGCCTTGGAGTCAGCAACGCCTGAGGGGAGAACAGGTGCACAATTTCAGGCTCCACCAAAGGAGGTCTTCTCTCCTTTGCCACCTTGCTCTTCTAATTCTACCTATTTGGTTGGCTCTCCAATGCGTTCATACAGATGTTTGTTCTCTTAGTTTTATTGTGAT